CTGAGGAGTCCGAGAGATCCCATCCTAGTGACACAGAAGCAGAACCTGAGGAGACCAATAGGGGTGATCATGTGAGTGAGTCGGACTGCGAAGGTGGAAATATGATGGATGATACACTTCCTGATGCTTTTGAAGACCCTCTTATGTTTGAAGATGAAGAAGAAGATAATAGTGTCAAGTTGTTTTTCCAAGAATACAGGAAAAAGTTCGAAATGGTACAAGCTGTAACTGATGAAGTCACAAATCATTGGGATTTTCATACAGAAACCCCCCAGCCGTTTGATTTATCATTAGTCTCAACACCTGAGGAGGGCAAGGAGAAGATCAATCATGATGATGGTGCTATTGAGATAGGTTTGGGTATTGAAGATGAGTTGGGAAAAGATGATTACATGCTCCAAGAGAGTGAGGGCGAGTTACATGATGTTCATAATGAAGAAGTCCCACTCCACAAGCAAGAATTCCCCTCTTGTACACATGCACCGGTCCACTCTTACGTGGTTTCAGGTATGGACCTCTTTGATTCACTCCTTGATGACGATATTCCTTTTTGTGTGGAGAATGACAACATCATCCGGGAAAATATTGATAAGAACGATGTTAACGAGAGTTGGGATGCCTTCATGGGGAGTGTGATACACAGTCCGGAGAAGAGGTTGTGAATGTTCATGATATTTGTGAGGAAGAAGAAGACTTTTCTATGGTGCAGTTTGATTATGGTGTTGCTCCTACTCCTTGCTTGGAGACATGTTTTGAGCTTCCGGTGATGCCTAGAGTAATCAAAGTTTTCACTCATGTTCCCTATCCACCTGAAAAGGATGAGAGTTTCATACTTCACTTCTGCGCTGATGAGGGTTATGAAGACCATATGCTGCCTACGTGGACTGAAGAATTTAAAGATCCGCGACACCTAATGGTATTTGTTGAGAGAATGCTGGAGACATTGATTATTAATGCACCACTGCAGTCTTTGCTATTTGAGAGCGTATGAGGAAGTTGCGTCGGGCAAACGACGTTAAAAATAGCGCTTCTTGGGAGGCAACCCAAGCTTATTTCTGCATTTTTTGTTTGTTTTTTTGTTTGTTTGTTTGTTTGTTTGTGTGCTTTCAGAAAACCCCCGAAAAAAAACCAAAAAAAAAATTCGGGATGTTTTTTGGGTTTGTTTTTGTGTTTGTGTTTTGTTTTTGCAGCTCAGGGTCTTGCTTTGGGGATCACTTGACTCAGTTTAGTTCTGCACCGACCAGCACCTTAGGGAAGTTTTTATGACTCTAATAATCGTCTGTTTGTAATAATTGACTTGAGTTAAGTTGAGCACGCGTGACCCTATCCTCTTTACTCCCTTGTGCATAGTGCATTTTTGGTCATCGAGGACGATGCCAAAGTTTAAGTGTGGGGGAGTGAATTGGGCATTCGGGCAGTAGTTGCTACATGTGATTATTAGAGTTAGCATGCGCAGGGGTTAGTTGTATATTCATAGGAAATTCATGTCAAAATGTTTTTGAAAATTTTTCTTTAAACTGTTTCTTTGTGAACTGGCTAGCGTTTTGACTATGCTTTTAGAACATCTTTGAAGTGTTTAGGCTTAAATTGCTTGCATGATAACCTAGTTGTTGAAAGGATGAAGGCATTAGTCACCCATTGAATGAATCAACAAAGTTCTCATTTGAGCTCCATAGCCAAATGGCCTGTGTTTTCTTACCCGTGAATATTTCTAACATAGTCTTGGTGTTTAGGGAACTAGGGGAAGTATTTGTTAAGTTTAGATAATTTTTGTAGGAGCCATTTTTGGCACTGTTCCTATGCCCCAAATGGGGTAAGAGCAGTCACTTTTTAGGAATTTGATATTTTCGAGGATTGCATTGTATGCATGGATTCACTTTGAATTAATGAACTTTAATTGCTATTTTTCCTTGGTGAGGCAGAGATTAGAATGGGGTAACGTCTAGTGAGAATCCGAAAGGTGGAAAAATAATATAGCTAGACCTCTTGCCTTGCGAAAAAGAGAATGGGAGCCCCTGTCAAAAAGCGTAAGATGAGACTCGGGTATCTTTTGAAAGAAACGGCGTTCTCGTGCCAACATGACAAGGAAAACTAAACTTAATTAATGAACTTGGAGGCTATTGCAAAATTAGCTTTAGTCCTCCGCGTACTTCAAGTATACATCAAAGCACAAATGTGCCGCGATGGTTTAGCTTAGTTGTACACCATGTCTACTCTTTGCATAGGGTTAGATGATTGTTCCTAATTTGCGGCCCACTAAGTTCTTTGATCCTAAAAATAGCCCCGAAATTCCTGAATGCATTGAGTCTTTGTTAGAGTATTCCAAACTCTCAAGAAAGGAACTGTTTATTCTTACCATTCACCCTTCACCACCGTCTTCACAAGTCCTTCTGATCGGTAGCTGGTTTATTTGTGTGTGCTGTCACCACTTTGAGGATGTTGTGAATAATTTTGTCAAATAGTTTAGCTTGAGTACAAAGATGTAGTTTAGGGATGAATTTTCTTGGTTTAGACTATCTGTTTTGTGAATATCCCTTTAACTACGTATGCATGCTAATTGTTTTAATTCCGTGTGGTGATTATCGTAAGTCCCGTTGTTCGGTTTGTTTGAGGACAAGCAAAGGCTTAAGTGTGGGGGAATCTGATAAGTCCGTATTTCGACACACATTTGATGTGTGTTGAGATCGTCTTTTGATGGTTTTCCTAGCTTTAAGGTGTTGCAAGTCTCAATTTTAGCTCAAGTTATGTTTACGAGGCGTTGGTTCGAGTTTTGTGTCATTTGGAGTCAAAATCAGGAATTTTGAGTTCGGCCCCGGCGCTTAAGGAGCAATCGGGATGATTTGAGATGCCTTCGAGAGTGGATTGAGAGATTTGGAGGTCACCGGGAGGTTCACGATGAAGATTTGATGGCAAAAGAGCTCTAGGATTGGTTATGAGATCAAAAGAAGATGAATGAAGCTTGAAAACGACGATCAGGATGACCTTCTGTCAATCGTTCAAGCATATCTCTTTGTAGAAACCACCAATGGACACGATTCAAGTTCCATATGAAATATAACTTCAAGGTCTACAAATCATATGATCAGAATACACCTTTGCGAGAATCTGAGAGAAAGAAGGTGAAAACATATGATGAAGTCAGATGATCTTTGCTGCGATTTCATAATGATACCCTCAACCATTTTGATCATATCTCTTGATTGGATGATTCAAATCCCATTCTGCAAATTGGAGTGGATAAAAGACTTCATTATCTACAACTTTCATGAAGGAAGAATTACCAAATTCGGAAGTTAAGTAGGCACTATCGTGCCCTCAAAGTCAGGCACGATCGTGCGTGAAGAGAAAGCACCGCAGAGTTACTGCCATCCAGGCACGATCGTGCCTGCCCAAAATGCGCATTTTTGCTCCGGAGGCACGATCGAAGGCACGATCGTGTCTGGCACCGTGCCTGCCTCTGGAGATCTCAATTCAGCTCAAATTTGACCCAATTTTTCTATTTAAACAGCCTGTAAACCCCCGTTTTCGAGGGGGGAACTTAGAGAGAGTGCCTAGCACGAATTTTATAGGGCTTTTCAGCCTTGTTCATCAATCTTTTGGGATTCTTTGTAAGTTCCGTCTTTTTAATTAATGAAAATTATTTCTATTCATCCCAATTCTGTTGATTCTTCAATTATGAATTGTGAGTAGTTTAATTAGGGATTTGGGATTGATGAAGGGGTTAATCATGATGTATGGCTAGATTCCTTTCGGTTTAATTGCATGAATGTCATTTAATTTGTGTTTGAATAATTTAACTGATATCTCATGTAACCTAGATTGCAGCTAGAATTACAATTGCATGTAGTATGAATTAAGAGAGATCTAATTTATTCTAGGACACATTCACACACACTTAATCGTTCGCTAAGAGATTAGTAGCGATTAAGGGTCCGTAAGCTCGCTCGTTTTGGCAATAATTTAGGATCTTGTCGCATGAGAGATCAGCGTGGTCCCCAAAATTATTGTACTCCACGCCGCGAGAGCGGTAAGAACTTAGTAATGATTAGCTGGGCTCAATTAAATTAATTTCATGTAATTAGGCCTGATCTGCTAGAAATCGGGTTACCCCGGAATCTGTGACACCACACCCGAGCGTCCTTGAAATTCAAATTTAAATGCAAAGCTTGTGCATTGAATTTCCATTTACCAAACAATTGTAAGACAATTGTTGTTTTATGTAACGCATATTTGATCATTTTACCGTTGAGCTTGTATATTAGTGATGGGCTTCAAATACTTATTTGGGGCCATCTTATTAAACATAAGAGCCCAGCATTACGTAAATAATGATACATAACCTTTTGATACAAATTAAGGAAGGTCGAGCATCCCAAACATTATTTTGGGCCCAACCTGCTAAAAATAGTAAGTATTCAAGAAGGGCGTCTGAGGTCCACTCGAGGGTGACCCACATGGCTTGTAGTCCATGAACATAAATACAAAAGTCACAAATAAGTGATAGGATGATTAGAGAAGAATACAAATGCCTATGACCTCATCCTTGACATTATTGAGCTAAATAATGGGAGTATGTTTTTCTTCTATAATATTCATCATGTAAATTATTGGGATGATCACACACATATTGGAGATCAATAATATGATGCAGAGAGTTGACTTGTTCTAAATAAATTGGAATGAGTACAAAAAGACATCTTTTGACAAAAGATAAAATAATAGGATCCATTTTTCCATTTTTGGAAGTATTGGTAGATATTTTGGATCCCAAATTGATTGGGATCAATTGGGAAGCACTCCACATGATTTGAGTACCTGCGAGACAAGAAAAATAAGTGAGGAGACTTACCTTGGCCGGACAAGCTGGAGGAGAGCTGCACAAGACTTGATTGGAATCAAACTTGAGACCCACCTTGTCAATTTCCGCACAAATCATAGGTGTGCTTTGTCTCCCTCCTTAAAGGGAGTTGTACTCGTCCAAATGAGGTGTATAAGGTGTCCTTGGATAGCCTTTGAAGTATACTTTCATTATTGAGTAGTTGCGGATCAAGAAGAGAGAGCTTTACCGACAATAATCGAGGTTGAGTGAACCGCTGCGTATAAACTCGAGCAGTGGGAGTACTGGTGTTGTTTGGTTCATATCTCGAGTTATACTAATCCAAATCAGGCGTGTGAGGTACCTGCGGATATCTCTCAAGACTAGGAATCCGGGAAGGTCTGGTTTGCATCAATCGGAGTAGTGAAAGGCTTCCAAATCGTCCGAGAAAAACACAACCTCGCAGAAACGGATCTACTCTTCTAAAGTGAGTTTCAACCCCAAAAACCTTTCCTTTCATTTTCCAAATGATATGAACGATTGGTGAGGCTATTATAAACTACTCCAATTGTATGATATGTCCTTATAAAGTTATTTTATTGATGTAAAGGTTAGATACTAACCTAGAGCAAATCATGGAAAAACTAGGAAACGTGTTCGCCGGAAAACACCCATTCTAGGGGCTGTTTTCGTATCAACGGATAGGGGTTGAGCTAGCACTTTGGGGAGTCTGTTTAACACTCATTTTTAAGCAAGGAATCAGTTCTTAATCCACCTTGGCTGAGGCTTTGGTCATTGGATCGAGAAGGGAAGTTTTAAAGCTCATTTGAGGTGAGGATCGACATCTAATTGCTTACAACTTGTAGGTTAAGCATGAGATTACCTAAATGCCTAAATCATGATTTTTCGTGGATTATGGTGCCTAAATATTGATGAAAAGATGGATATAGTTTACAATGAATGAAATTGTAAATGATTTGAGGTTGTATGGATAATATGAGATTAAATGAGTTATTAATGAACTATTTTGTGAAATAGGCATTTTACTCATGTATTAAATATGTGGATACATAAATGGATATTTATGTATTGAAGTTGAATATTTTAGTTGCTGCTACATACTTATAAATATGTAGAGAATTACAAAATGAGGATATTTGTATGATGACAATAATCTTAATAGTATTGAAATACTAGTTAGTGATTATTTGAAATTGTTGATAGAATTGATCCTAAGTATTGGATCGTATGAAATGCACTTGAATGTACTTCAAGTGTATAAAATGACTTAGAATGAAGCTAAGGGTAAGTTATGGGCAGTCATTTAAGATGACCCAAGGTAGATTATTGAGATGTCAATTCTAGGCATAGGTTTGCTTAGGAATTGGACTATAATGAAGAATTTGAGTCGGACTCTATGATTGCATGGAAACGTAGTTGGGCCGAGCCCTTGCCATGTAATTTTGATTTGCATGGAAACGTAGTTGGGCCGAGCCCTTGTCATGTAAATTGTGACTTGCATAGAAACGTAGTTGGGCCGAGCCCTTGCTATGCAAATGTGATAGGATGTACTTGACATAAAGGATTGCATAAAAATGTAGTTGGGCCGAGCCCTTGCTATGCAATGGTAATGTGATTAACTCTATGAGTTGTCGTGACTAGTAATCACGGGGAATGGGAAATGGTGATTTCTAAATAAACATGGGCCTACGGGCCGACTACTTGACTTTGATATAAAGTAAGTATATTTTTAAATGGGGTAACTTGTGGTTACAGTCATATCGTACTATCACCCTATTTGAGGGTCATATGTTTGAAATACTTGTTGTATATCCCTTAGATGCCATCCACACCAGTACTTTATAGCCCTATAGAGTACTGACCCCTTCGGGGGCGTCCCACCACCATTTCAGGTTGAGGCTAGAGCTTGCTTTCTGTGCTCGTTGATCGAGTGATTTCCCGGAGAGAAGACTTGGTTCGTGCTTCCTCCATTCTGATTTGAACACTAATAAATTTGCTCATGGATATTTTACTTTAGAGCATGCGTGCTCCTGTTTGCCCCATGTGGCATTTGATTTCAAACTATGTTTTTCGCTGCGTATTAAATTACTTATTATGTATGTTTATGCATGACTTACGTGTGAATGATATTCATGATGCCTTGTATAATATGGATGTGTTTGACTATGGTTGACTATTCGTATTGTACGACGGGTTGTTGGCGTGTCCGGGTAGGTCCGGGGCGTGACAGTTTAATTGGTATCAGAGCCTTAGTCCATAAACTTCAAATGAAGTCTCCAAATTCTCTTTTCAAAATGATTTTGAAAACCATGAGCATAAATGTTTTGTACTTGTAGAACTTTTGGTACTTGAGTTGCAGGGTCTCTAATTGTTAAGATGGTACCCTTAACAATTGGTATGACAGCAATTTGAGCCAAATGGTGTCTTAAGTACTTGTCTGTCAATTGACATTTGATACGAGTCTAATGACTCTTTCCAAAATTTCCTTCAAAAATGGACCGTGGTGGCAAGGTTACTAGGAGAAACCCGACGGGCCGTGCACCGGTGGAGACTGGGCAGGGCAGTCGTAGGACCTCTAGGGCATCTAGAGGAGCGGGCCGTGGAGGCCGATCACAGACCGTGAGCGACGGTCATGTGAACATCGAGAGTGAGAACTACTGGTCCCATGAGGACTCGACATATCAACTGGAAACCGAGCCAGTTGAGACCCCTTATGAAGGGGATGATGATGATGTAAGCAATGAAGAGGAGGGAAACGACTCCTTAGCACGAATTGAAGCGCTACTCCAACGGTATCGCCGTGAGCGTGAGGAAAGGAGGGAACGCCGAGGGCGCCGAGCTGAGCAACCTTCGGGCGGGGCTTCAAGAGGAAGAAGCCATGGCGACTCTAGGGCTCACATTGAACCACATGGGGGCCGAGGTGATGGAGGTCCAATCATAAGGATCTCCAAATACATCAAAGAGGCACGAGACTTGGGGTGCAAACCGTTCGATGGAACGGGTGACATCTCTATTCTGATTTGAACACTAATAAATTTGCTCATGGATATTTTACTTTAGAGTCTGCGTGCTCATGTTTGCCCCGTGTGGCATTTGATTTCAAACTATGTTTTACGCTGCGTATTAAATTACTTATTATGTATGTTTATGGATGACTTACGTGTGAATGATATTCATGACGCCTTGTATAATATGGATGTGTTTGACTATGGTTGACTATTCGTATTGTACGGCGGGTTGTTGGCGTGTCCGGGTAGGTCCGGGGCGTGACAGAATCGATCCTTGTTCCCTTCGTCATTAATTAGAAAGAACCCCTAGTTTAATTGTTTTATTCGCATTAGTTTTATTTTCCAAACCAACCAATCTCGCACGACGCATTTATTTTATTTATTTTTATCGCTGAATTTAATTAATATTTGATTCCCTTTTTGTCCGTTCCTGTGGAGACGATACTCGTACTTACACCACTATATTACAATCTTTTTAAGTGCGAGAAAACTCACATCATAGACTATGTCAAGTTTTTGCATAGAGATAGATGACAATTTCTATTGAGTGTCTTGCTGAATTCTTTGCTCCTAGAAATATCCCCGAAACCCCCAAAAACATTGAGCCGATGTCAAGTTGTTTCAAACTGTCAAAGAAAGGATCTTTTCACCATTCACCTTCACCTTCACAAGTCCTTCACATCAAGAGCAAGAATATTTGTGTGTGTTGCGTTGACATCAAGGATGTTTTGATATTTTTTGTCATTAATTTTAACCAGTGCACAAAGAAGTTGTTTGGGGAAGAGCTCGCTTGAGTTAGCCTGTTTTTTATGTACATATACTTTTGATTACATGTGCGCCCTGATCTTGGTTGATGTCGTGTGATGATTATTGTAAGACCCAAGATTCAGTTTGCTTGAGAACAAGCAACAGTGTAAGTGTGGGAGAGTTGACAATTCCATATTTCGACACACATTTTATGAGTGTTGGGATTGAGTTTTTAAGTTTTCCTAGCTTAAATATGTTACAAAGAACCTAATTAGCTCAAGCCATAGTTTACTGGGTTTTGGTTTGCATTGGTTGTTTTTACGGTTAAAATCATGAATTTCAGCCTGACATCGACTTCGAAGAATTTCTTGTGAAGACTTCAGATACGTTCATGAGTTGTTGAGAGAGATCAGATGTTCACGAGACGGCTAAAGAGGTCAAAGAATGAATTCGGGATCGTTTGGGATCGAACGGGGAATAAAAGAGCTAAAAAATAATGGTCCAAAAGAGGTCTGCACACCGTGTTCACGTTGACCAGAGCTTATAGAGAGTGCTTAGGACAAAATTTCGAGAGGTGTTAACCTAGGATCTTTAATATTTTGGGATAATTTGTAAGTTCTATTTTTTAATTAATGACAATTAATTATTTCCTTTTCAATTCTATTGATTTGTCAATTATGAATTGTGAGTAGATTTAATTAAGGATTTGGGATTGATGAAGGAGCTATTAATCATCATCCAGGGTTTGTTCCTTAGGGTTTAAATGCATAATTATTTATTTAATTTGTGTTTGAAATTTTGAATATTTTAATTGATATCTTTTGTAGCCTACAACTGCAACTAGAATTATAATTACACATACAACAATTTAAGAGAGGTCGAAATTATTCTAAGACACTTCCACATACCTAATCGTTCGCTATGAGATTAGTAACGATTAGGGAGCCATACACACGCTCGTTTTGGCAATAATTTAGGAACTTGTCGCATGAGAGATCAGTCTGTTTTTTTTAATTATTGTACTATACGCCGCGAGAGCGGTAAGACCTTAGAATTGACTTGCATTGCTCAATTAAATAATTTTCATGTTTATAAGTCTGCTCAGCCCCAAAATTTGGTTGCCCCCAAAATCAATCCTCGTTTCTCTTATGTCATTAATTAGCTAGAAAGAACCCTTTAAATTAGATTTATTTTCTTCGCATTATCAATTTCCAAAAAAACATCAAAATCTCGCAGATTCGCATTTATTTTATTTATTTTTTTTTAATCGCTGAATTTATTTAATACCCGGTTCCCTTTTTCGTCCCTTTGGAGACGATACGATACTCGTAGTACTAGGGGCGGAGCCAAGGGCTCGTTAGGGTGGCCAGCCGACCCCGTTGAAAGTTCGATAATATAGAGCTCTAAATTACCTTTGATTTGATATAATATGGCCCCGTAACTCATTTCGAGTAAAACGTTATGACTTCTGGAAAAAATCAGCATCATCCGAACTTGAACTGAGCAAAATTTTATGTGTGATATTCATTATATTCTTAAATTAAAAACAAAGCGCCTTATTCACTCAATAATTGTGTGAAGTTTTCAATACATGACATATATATCTACACAATAACTGAATAGGTCTCATTAAATTAGCATTTATCTTAGCTACATATGAAACAATTAACTTAAGTATTGTTTAATCTATAACTATCTTCCATTTTGATATTGTATATAATTGAATTCCGATCTCCCTCACACGTTATTCTGGCTCAGCCACTTCTCGTACTAAAACCCTTAACTACTACTCCCTCCGTCCCAATTTGTAAGATACATTAGGGCTTACGATGTTTGACTGATGATAAAGCAAATTGATCCCTGACAACACTCAAATTAGTTCTAGAAAATAAAATTTACATATTCATAAACTACATTAAAACCGCTACAAAACCTGCAAAAAATAATTCAAATTTCATAAACTTTTGATATATAAAATAAAAGATTAAGATTGATTTATGTTGACCAAGTGAATAGTAAATGTATCATACAATTTGGGACTGAGGGAGTACATCTTTTTAAGTGCGAGAAAATCACATCAGATCCCCTGCGGCAGCCTCCTCTGCTGCGAGGGACATACGCCGGCAACTACTGGCTAGCGGCACCAGTGGCTCCAAAAGCTTGATGAGCCCCTGTGTGTTCCTGCTGACGAAGAAATAATACACGCTCCTCTTTCTCAAGCCTTGAATGTAGGATGTGAAAAGGAAAATTTTCAAGAAACATCATGATAGTGGTAACCAAGGATTTATATTTTGAACCTAATACAAGAACAATATACTCCAGTAAACCCTTGTCACACACATGGGAGAGTTAATAGGAATAATAGCAGCTAGGGAATCAGCCAAGGTCTTGATATCTCGCAAATAATGTTTCATAGTTGGATTTTTCTTCTTTTTTTGATATAAGATCACAAACGCTAGAATTCCATAAAATAGGTTAAACCGGAAGACATAAAGTGCTTATGCAGCCGTTCCCAGATATCAAAGGAATGTTTGACATCATGTACATCGACCACGGAATTACGGGAAAGCGTGGGAAATAATCAAGAACGGATTATTTGATCCACTCGTAACCAATGATAGTACTTGGTATTAACAATCGGGAAAAGGAACAAATAAGTCCTCGAACTACCAAAAAAGTGCAAACCACCCCTTATATATAGGAGGCTATGTCCGGCCGTCGTCATTTAGGGAGGTTCCCGGTGGAATTTTATGATGAAATTTTTTTAGGATCTTCTTCATTAAGTCTAGTTCACCCATACCAAATTTCAGCTAAAATTTCAACCGGGAAGAGAGTCAAATGAATTTTTGAAGATAACTGCGCAGTTAAACAGCGCAATATATTTCAGAAAATCATTTGACTAACTTCTCGGTTTTATTTTTAGCTGAAATTTGGTATGAGTCAACTAGACTTAATGAAGAAGATGTTCAAACAAGTTCATCAAAATATTCCACCGGGAACTGCCCCAAATGACGACGGCCGGACAAAACCTCCTTTATAAGGGGTGATTTGAACTTTTTTGGTTAGTTCGATGGCTTATTTTCCCCTTTTCACTTAACAATTTGATGATTATTAAAAGTGATTGTGTACATGGAAGGTACCTGAATGGAACCATCAACAATGCTAAAAAAATCCCGAGATAACAAGAATGATTCAAACTAAGTGTGCCATGTGAGATAATTTTCAACTGCTTTGGGTTTAATAGTTACAATCTATGTAAATTGGTGATGTGAGAAACTTATTATGTCAGGGAAGTCATGAGGGGAACCGAAATCAGTAAATTCAGGCGGCCAAGTAACACCTGGGAACAGGTGAATGAGGGCCGAAAAACTATGAACCATGCAGTGATGGAGGAGGCATAATCACAGGAGACGACGGCGTGACACCGGATTGCCATGTAAATCGCAACGGCAGAGAATCAAAGAGAGTATAGGCACTTGTTGAAGTTCAGGACGGTGGCGAGGACATCAGGAATGGAATTTGGTGGTGAGGTGGGGCAGGCAGTTGTGGAAGTTGATGCATAAGGAGGTGTGGCACAAGAAGTTGCCAGTTGTTGTGGAAGTTGGCGTGATCATCGTAGAAGGCCGAAGACGAAGTTGTAGCAGACGTTAGCACAGTCGTCAGTCGACACAGACGGCACAGACGAAGAGGTGGAAATCGTGGTTGACGTCAACGACAAAAAACCTGCGGTGGACGACGAACTGGAAGCAACGACAATGTGCATGATTGCGGCGGCCGAATGCTAGGGTTAGGATAACTGAAAAATTATGTATGTGCTCTTCATACCATGTGAAATAAACATGTCTCCAATAGGAGCCCTGACAGATGTACTTGTAATAATAGAAGAAATGCGCCTACAGTGAGTAAAATAAAATTGATATATTTACAATAGGTAATTGTAAATTAATTTTGTGAATAAGATTGTTATTTTCATGATAAAACTACTGCTCCCTTCGTCCCAAATTGATGGTCCTATATTTTTTGGATTAAATATTATTAAAGTGGGGTAGAATGACTCATATAATGTTACTTTATTGCATTGTTCACTCCTTTACTTTTACTATTCATAACAAGGAGATGTATAGATGGTAATTTACTTTAGTTCCGTACCAAAAAGAAAAACTAGACTATCATTTTTGGACAGCCCATGCCAAATAGGAAATACATGACCATCAATTTGGGACGAAGGAAGCAGTAGTTTTATCATGAAAATAACAACAGTACGTACTAAGTTTGTAACTTTGTATACAACAGTACGTACTAAGTTTGTAACTTTGTATACAATGATTATATATTATGTGTATGAATTATGTATGTATTATGTTAGAAATAAGTGAGTACAATATTTTAAAAAGTGTCCATTAATATGGCATTATAAAATAACCACAATAAAAACTCTCAATATGTACAAATATACCATGAGGTTTTTTCAAAAAAATTACTAAAATAAAATTTATTTACATAAATATAACTAATAGCTACTACAATGTAGTGTCATGGTAACTCAAGTTTAAAAATTGAACATCAGTACTATGACTTTTACTCCAATCACTAGTAACATTTTTATTAACAATCTTTATTTTAGTCATACATGTGTAATTATTTTTATACACCGTCCAAGCGAAATAAGCCTATTGAAAATCGTAATTATGTCACGCTTTTCA